CGCCATAAGAGCCTGATAATCACCTTAGTTTCAACATTTAAAACTAAGCACAGGCAGATTAACCTATAAACAGACAACACTGACAGAGGCAAGACGTGTAGATTCAAGGCCAATTTAAAAAAAACCCACGATCTGTGCAAAGACTTATCATAAACTAGGTTAAAATAAACACTAAGCCCTGAATCAGGATTACTAGCAAAGAGGTACCAAATGTTAGAAGTTTGAACAAAGGCAATTTACACACTTAGGTAGTAAAACCTTTCATCTAACATACAAGTTAAGGCCTTCTCGACCGACAGGAGCGAAAGGAGCCTGAAAAATAATTCCAAGCAGCAAAGTGTAGCTCAGGATGTGTACATGACTGGGCAAGCACACATCAGAAAACATTATTCTCCTTTACATAAGTAAAGAAATGTTCGCCACAGAAAAGCCTTTCCCGTAAAACCTGGGGCTAATTGAAAGGAACCGGTTTTCAGGCTGAAAACAAAACATGAAGTCGAGTGTCAGCTCCCCCTAAGTTGTGACAAATTATGGCCTGTTACCTTTAAAGTTCTTGATCACTAATTTCTTAGCAGAGCCAGGTTTACTGTTGGCGAAACTGGAAACAGTAGAGGAGGCAGCTTTGGTCAGGCCATTTGCATGGTGCCCCACAGCCACTGATGAAATTAAAAGGCTTTTATTTTTGAGCTGCTGTTGGTGCTGCTGCTGGGAAGAGGCAGCAGGAGAGGAGGAGGAAGAAGACTCTTCAGCCATCTTCACATCGAGTCCAATAAAATCCACGGAGTCCTCAAAGCGCAGCTTCTTCTGGAGGTGATGGTTGGAGGAAGCAACCCCTGAGGAGGAGCACGAGGAGGTGGTGATGACGGAGGAGGATGACGAGGAGGTGTTTTTGGAAGGAGAAGAGGTGCAGGAGGAAATGGAATCAAATTCTTCTTTTTCGGAATTGCTGTTGCTGCTGTTATTCAACTTTCTCTTCTTGCAGGAGGAGCTGCTGCTGGTGTTACCATCAGTGGCAGGTCTGACCTCCTGGGCTGCAGCTGGGGGGTTGGGGGAAGAGAAACCTGTGGGAAACATGAACACACAGAAGTGAACAGGCTGAGGGGCATCAAATCCTTGTGGTGTGACAAAGAGAGGGAGAGTTTTAGAGTCAGTCTCTGTTTGCTGTCTCTCGTGGGGGGGTCTTTCAACTCCTCTCTCTCATCAGTGGAGTCCTTCCGTATTCCCTCTCCTTCTCGTTCTTCTTTGTCGGAGCAATCACTTTATCTCCTCTTCCCCTTTTCTTTAATACTTTGTTTCTTCTCGTAGTTTGCCTCTGCCTTCCTGCTTCCACTCCTTCCTCAGTGGAGCGCCTCCGTTCCTGCCTCTCGCCCCCCACCAGCTCCTCTGGGCTCTGCTCTCAGGCAGCGGAATGCCCCACGGCCGCCCGCTCCCCCGGCTTCTCCTTGCGCTCCCCTCCTGCTCCGGCCGCCTCGTCTCCGCCGAGCAGCAGCGGGGCGGGCTGAGCGCGGCTCCCTCTCGCCTCGGCTCCAGCCCCTGGGCCCCGCACGCCTCCCGCTCTGCCCCGCGGCCGCTGCGCTCGGGCCCCGCTCCCCCCTCTCCGGCTGTGCCCGCGCTGCTGAGGGGGGACGGCCCGGCCGGTTGTTATTGTCACCGCACGGCGGAGGGAGCGCAAAGATGGCGGCGCATCCGCCCGCCGTGCATGACGGGGCGCGGCGCACGGAAGCGCGGCCCGGCACCGGGGAACCGCCTCAGGGACCGCCCCGGCACCGCCCCGGCACCGCCCCGGCACCGGGGAACCGCCTCAGGGACCGCCCCGGCACCGCCCCGGCACCGGGGAACCGCCTCAGGGACCGCCCCGGCACCGGGGAACCGCCTCGGCACCACCCTGGGACCCGCCGGAACTGATCCTGGCTCGTTATCCCCGCGCTGGCGGGCTCGTTCTGTGTGGTGGGACTGCAGAGTCGGGGGGTTTCGTACCGGGGTCCCGGCCCGCCCTGCCCTGCCTAGCCCTGCCCTCGGCCGGGGCGGCTCCCGGGCCCTCACCCGGCCCGTCCCCCCGCGGGTTCCGGCTGCGGTCGCTGCGGTGCACGGCGGGGTTCGCTGGAGCCCGGCCCCGGAGCCTGCGGCCAAGGCCTCGGCCTGTTATGGAAATGGTTTTTCTTACACGTATTTACAAACAATCATTTAGCATCAGCTTTTTCGTATGACTTAAATACATACGGACTTGCATCCAGGGTTTACAGCCTGGTGGTTGTGGTTTTTTTTTGTTTTTTTTTTGTTTTTAAACTTTTGGAAGCAAATACAGAAGTCGTGGCCCTTCGGAGTCTGGTTTTTTTGATACTGGTGGATCTGTTACCAAAGAGGGCTGTGAACTCCCCGGGAACGTTGTTATGATTCAAACGCTGTTGAGAAACGGCTGTGGAAAGAGTAACAAACCAGGGGATGAGGTTTTTTGTTCCAGGAGGTTCTCCAAGGATTTCAGCAGAGAGCACACACCTGCCTGCCTGACAGCAGAGCTCCTCGGGGGAAGGCTGGTGGCACTTCTGTGTTTGATAGGGAAAGATATGCTAACTTGTCTTGACAGAAACTGTGGCGCAGAGAGATAGGAATGTGATGTTACTGAGGTTCTTCTGGAGCATGTTTTGTTACTGAGTCACCGTCAGACAACTCCTGAGGCCTGGAATGTAATGCTAGTGATGTGTAGAAAAGTGCTTTTTCCAGATTAAAAAAAAATACATCAGCAAAACAAAGCTTAAGTCTGTTTTTGACTGGCTTTAGAACAGTTTGTGGGTTCCCAAGGCTAATACCTTACATTCCAAGTCAGATGTAACAGAAATAAACAGGTTTGCTAAGTAAATAAAACTTACGTGACTGTGCTGTAAAATTTTCCTTTGTTTGCAGTAACTGTCATGTTCACTTAAGCCAAATTAGGTAAGGAGTGTAGAGCTGCAAGAGATACAAAATTTCTACAGATTGTTGGTTTGTTGAAAGGATTAGATTTAAAAAAGAGGAGACATGATTAAGTGCCCCTTCTCCTGGAGGTGCAAAAGGGCTATCCTATCCAGGAGTCAGTGACTGTGTGTCCCATCAGTCAGAATATGCAGCTCCGGGATATGGAAGAGCAGGTGACTGTAATGTAAAGTGCTGGGGATCCACGAAGAAACCAGGTGTGACAATTTCTCCCCCCAAACGTATGGGAGAAGAGATTTTAAATCCTTTCTATTTAGCATGTGGTCCTGAGGGGTGGTTTTTCTCAGGGCTGGAAGGGTCGTAATGCCATTTGCTGGATATGCCCCTTGCTTTGTCGGTCCTGTCCAGGTAGAGTGCTTTTAAAATTCTTGTACTTAAAAGTGACACTGCAACCAGAGCAAATGTCTCCAGTTTCTTGGTGGTGAGGCTGAACAGTAACATGGAGAGCTGTATTACAGAAGTCCAGTCCAGGTCCTTGGAGCCTTCTTCAAAAATCCTCTGTACAAGCACTTTTAGATTGGGTGAGCCATTACCTGACCCTGAAGTCTGCAGCTACACCAGCAAAAAATATTTGGAAGAGAAGATGGAAAAGGTGACACCAGACTCGATGTTAGCTCAGCCCCGAAGGGAACCAGTGGTCCAAGTGCTTTAAGATAGTAAAAGAATGGAGGTAAGGCATTCCTATTGCCAAATGCCATTTTTGAAAATTAGGGACTAATCTTGCTTGTTTAGGCAGGCATGAAAACCATTGCTCAGGTGGTTACAGTCCTCAGGAAGGGTAGAATTTTATCTTTTTTTTTTAACATCTGAGGTGGAAGTATGATGAATTTTTCAGTACAGTTTTTAAAAATGTGATTGTTTACATGGTAAAGTATTATTTAATGAAGATTTTTCTAAGGAGCACCAAAAATGCATGATATAGTTTGTCAGTGTGATAAACTGTTCTCAGTTTCTAATCTGGGCATGAGCAGTGTCATTGTGTTTCAGTTATAATTGAATTCTTGATTATAACTCAGTATTTTTAGTGATGTTTCAAAGTAGGTGGAGGTGGCGTTTATGAGTGAAATGCCTGACTATTTATGTAATGCCATAGTTCATTCCTATCCTCTTAAAAAGTTATTAGTGTGTTCCTGATGCTGTACTTCACTAGTTGAATAGATGATACCACATATAAAGCTTGATTTTACTTTGTATGACTGCTGTAACTCTTAGGATTTAATTAGTTGTTCTAGTATCAAAGGTGATTTCATAATTTTCTGTGGAAAAAAGAACTTGGTTGTTGGCATAATGATAACCTGGTGTTTTATGTCCTCTCCTCCCTTCCCTTTACGCCAGTGAAGGGACTCTAAAAAGCCATGACTCTAAAAAGAAAGGATGGCCACCTGTATGTCTGCTTATACAGCAGCCACCCGCCTAGAGAACAAACACATTCATGTCTGCTCCTCAGAGGGTGAAAAAGCAGTGTGGTAAATTCCCTCTGTCTGTGGTTTTCTATTCACGATTGCTGGAGCCATCACCAAGCAAAATCTAATGTGATTCTAATAAACACTGTGGACCATAATTGTCCCCCCCACAGCCCATCTCTCTGCCTGGCAGCTGAAATCTCTGCAAACCAGGCTTCTGCTCCCACTCCCTACTGAAGGATGTGGCACTGTCACTTGTGACTGACTCCCTGGCCGGCTCCAGTATCTGCTGCTTGACAAGAAACGCTTTTTTGTTTTGCTCCCCCCCCCCCCTTTTATTTCCAGAATGCTGGTGACAGGATCGCGTGTCCTGTTCTGAAGCTGGCGGGCCGACAGCTTCTGCCTCTGCTGGTTTGCAGGTGGCAGCGTTTTTTTCCTGTTCAACACATCTCGTGTCTAAATGACGTGAGTAGCTACGAGCACTCTGACACTCAGCTAAAGGATTTATTCTGTCGGAGCGGCGGCGTGCCCGCAGGTATCCAGCCGCTGGTTCCCGTGGGCAGGGCCGCGCTGGTGCCGGGGGTGCTCGGGGAGGCGCTGCCGGAGCCCCGCCCGTTCCGCGGGGATGGAGCGGCGCTTCCGGCGGGCGCGGAGCGAGGGACGGCCCGGCCGGAGCCGCGTGTGAGCAGCGCCGAGGCTGTGGGAGCCCGGCCCCGGCCCCCGCCCGGCGCCCTCCGCCCGCAGGATGTTCAAGAAGTGAGTGTGGCCGGGGCCGGGAAGGGCGGGGGAAGGGGAAGGGTCCGGGCGGGCCCGGCGCCCCCTCAGCCCCGGGCTCGGCCCTGCTCGGGAGCGGCCCCGCGGCCTCCTCGGGCAGCGCGGCCCCGGCTCTGCCTCGGGCAATCGGTTGTTAAATGGGAAACCCTCCGGAGGGAGCTGAGTCATTTTGTCTCAACTTCGGGGTGGCACAAAGCGCCGTTCGTACTTGTGTGGTGGAGGTGAGGGGCTCGCATCCCAACAGGGCTCTGGGCGTTTGTGTTGCCAGCAAAGTGCTCTTGGAGTTGAGTGAAATAACACTGTGTGTCTGTGGGGCTTAAACACACGTTTTGTGGAGATATCCACAAAGTTTAGGGATGAAGACAGCCCTAGTGGGGCACCCCTACCACCCCTCTGCCCAGTGTTCCCAGGAGACAAATTTAGGTCTCATGAAATCCTGGATTTGAAAGTTGGACAGTTGATGTGCTGTTCTGTATTGAATATATAAACATTTCTGAAGAATGCTGCAAATACAGCATTGTTCAGTCAGTAAATTGTGCATTTTTGAAAAACTTTCACTCACTTTACAGATTTGATGAAAAGGAGAATGTATCAAACTGTATCCAGCTGAAGACTTCAGTTATTAAAGGTATCAAGAATCAACTGATAGACCAGTTTCCTGTTATTGAACCATGGCTAAACCAAATCATGCCAAAGAAAGACCCGGTCAAAATAGTAAGATGGTAAGTTTCTTCTCTCTTGAGCTTTGGTTTTAAGGTACTTCCTTTATGTGTTGACTTTGTAGAGTAGATGAACCTGCTGTTTTTGAAAGGCATCTGTCATATCTTAATAGCTAATAGTCCAAGTTATGGCCAAGCCAGAAAGTTTACATGTGCTCATCGCGCTCGTGAAGGCACTTGCTGTTGTAGGATGCTTGAAGAACAGAAAACTGCTGCCTAGTAGTGAACGTGCAGTGTGTTCAGGGACTGCCCAAGGATTAGCCTGTTGTTGAAGGGAAACATTCAGCTTTATGGGTATGGAAGTTCAGACTTGTTTGGATACCTTCCAGTAACATTTTTTACAATTTTTGGGCTTCCATATGTTATCTCGATTATTTAATGTTTTTCTGGATAGAGGGTTAGTACATTTTTGCTGACTCTTTCTCCTTATCCACCCTTTGCACTACATTCAAAAACCCCAAAGAAATGCAATTTGTGCATTTTGTCTGTAGATTTTTTTTTTTTAAAGGGGAAGGAAGTGAGCAGGAGACCATTGTTGAAGAATAAGCCGTGCAAAAAGATAATATTTTTAGTTTTATATTTTCTTGCTAATTGACTGTCTTAATTCTCAGGTGCCAAGATAGACCAGACTCTGTGAAGTGAAATATTTCATTTAAACTGTAGAAGGATTTAAGTAGCTATTGGAATAATTATTTTTTAATCTTGCAGTCATGAACATATAGAAATCCTCACTGTGAATGGGGAGTTGCTGTTCTTCAGGCAAAGAGAAGGGATATTTTACCCCACGCTAAGGTTGCTTCACAAATGTAAGTTTTCTGAGGGTGGAAGTGCTGGGAAGAGAAGGATGAAAAAAATATTTTGTGATCTGTAATGGGTTTAATGATGTAATCTGTACTTGCCTCCTGTAGAAACTTAGGCTGCATGCTTTTTACTTTTTACAGTTTACTGTTGCATTATTTTTCTTGCTGTTCTGCTTGATTGTGTTACTCTGATTTGAATCCAAAAAAATGTTATTCAGTCAAATCCCAGTGCTGGAAATACTTCAGGAGGGTGCATGCACTTGAAGGACAGCTTGGAGAGCTGACAGCTTTCATGAATTTTGTCCATCTTTGCCTATTTTGTCCTCTTAACATTAAACTGTTTCTCTTTCATATTAGGTTAATTTGTAAGAGTACATTTGAGGGATTTGAGATCTCTTTTTTTTTTTAAGACCTCTGAGTATCTGGGCACTTGAGAGATTTATTTCCCTGTGGGAATTTGTTAAAATTGTTACTCAGTGTGTGGGTCTGTGAATGTGCAGGAGGCATAGGCCTGTAGTGCTGGGTTACCTTTGATTCTCAGGTAAAAGATGTGTCCTTTTGGGACAGCACTTGTGTCCTTTTGGGACAGTACAGCCCAGCAGGAGCCCTGGTGATTGTCAAACTTCCTGCCCTCACAGCACACTGTGTATCTAATTGCCCCCTCTAAACTGACTTGGTAATGAGTTATTCCTGTTGTCATCTTCCTGTATTAACTGTAATGCTGTATCTTTCCCCTCCTAGACCCGTTTATTCTGCCACATCAGCAGGTTGATAAAGGAGCCATTAAATTTGTCCTGAGTGGAGCCAATATAATGTGCCCTGGCCTGACGTCTCCTGGAGCAAAGCTTTACCCTGCTGCTGTCGACACTGTCGTTGTATCCTTCTTTAACTATGAGTTACTGCCTGCTGTGAGACCAGTTAGATTCCAGTCTTGTATTCTCAGCTGATCATAATCTGGATTACTTTGGATTTTAATAGGATTTCATGAAATAACCAGTAATCAGAAAAGAGCTGCAGAGGTTTAGATGTTATTTGGCAAGGTTACATTGTTCTTATTTTTTTACTTACTGTGTTGTTCCTGCTCTACTGTTGGGTAGGTTGCTGTTCCATTAATCTCCTTGGTAAGTGGAGCTCCTTGGTGATTTTATGCAGAACTGTAAAAGTAGATGAGGTGCAGTGTAATTTGTCCCCTGCCTCCATAGTCAATCTTTTATTCCTTTCAGTTAAAGAAGAATTCTTTCCTGTTCCTATGGAATTTGGAAAGATGTTAAGGATCAGCTTTACTGTAGTCAGGACTTGCTCTCTGTGTCTGATGAAGTTAGCAAGTGTGAAATGAGGAAAGTGCTAATTCACTCCTCGTTGTATTACTGAGAAAGGAAACCCTGAGCAAATACAGCATTAATAACACCAAGCTGTGCTGCTTGTGTTGTTAGATAGATGCTGTAGGAAAAGATCAGCTGTTGGCACCATGTGTTGCTAGACTGAAAAAGACACATCTGATTTCAGTACTTCTGTTTTTTTAAATTCTTGTCCCAATTCTTCTGTGCCTTGGAATGTGAAATGGCCCCACAAACATGTGCCATTTTGTTCCAGAAAGGAGAGACTGTCATCTCTGTGATAGGCACAAAGGAAGACATGCAGTGTAGTGCTGGGAGTCTTTTTTTTTCTGTAATTGCTGTTCCAAGTTCATAAATACATGCTTTGTTCTACACACTGTGATTCAGTTGTTAAATGCAGTGCATTGTTTTGTTTATCTTTAAGAGCTGCAGCTTTAGAATTACTAAAGGGGTAAAAGTTCAACGTGGGCTTTTGAAAGTGTTTTGGAAGTCGTTTCTTCATATTGCTTTTCCTTTTCTGAAGTAGTTTAAAAAGAAATCTGTTTTCCTTAGCAGTAATTTGTAGGCAATAATGGCAGAGGGAAAACAACATGCATTATGTGTGGGAGTAATGAAGATGTCAGCTGAGGACATGTAAGTGTTTTAAAAATTGAAATATAACCTGTCCCACGTCATTATTCTTAATGTTAGTTTGGAATATAAGCAGCACTGTCAAGGTTACTGCATCACTGTTGCAGCACATGCTGTTCAAATACAGAGTTTTTTAAGATTTTGTTTAATTGACTGGAATTCCGGGAGAGAAGAGGAGGCAGGGAATATCTTCTGTATTTATTTGGAATCAAATTTCATGTGAATATGGATTTTAAGGTGCACAGCATTAGTATTACTGCTGAATGTTAGTATTTCTAGAGCTCTGATCATACCTTGTCAAAGATCTCGTTGAACAAAGAAATATTTGTATTTGTATCAAGTACCTGAGCTGGGCAAGAGTTGCAATTTGGATTTGAGAGGATTGAAAATGTTGAAGTGATTTTTGTGTGCAGGGACAGGGAGACTGAAGCCATGCTGGTGTTTGGCTGCCTGTCTGGGCTTTCCTCTGTGGCCTGCCCTGTACCCACATGCAGCGTTCCTGCTTGATGTGCTGACTGGCTTATCTGAGCTTTTTGTGAAATGTAGAGGTCTGTTCAGGGGATAAACTGAAAATTATTTGAGAAGGAAAAGGGATAGAAAATGGAAATGGGTGCTGGTTGTTCTTGGCTTTCACACAGTGCAATATTGTAAGTAGCTAAATCACCTTGTCGTTTCAAGTTCTGTAAGGTCTTGCAGCAGGATGTGAGGGGCACCCAGAGGGTTTGGGCTGGTTGGTTCCAGCCCTGTGTGCCATTTGTGGCAGTGAGGAAGCTGATTTTGATGAAAACAAGTCACTCTTTTCTATGGGGATAATGCTCAGCAGGATCATCTCCTGTGCTGGGTGACTCCATGGTCCCAAGTCATAATGGTGGCAGCACGAGGGAGAGAGGGAATGTGTTACAAGGACAGGGATAGAGTGGGACTGGAGCAACCTGGACTTGGACCTGCTGTAGCTGTTGAGAAATTATATCTCTCAGGATTCTTTGTAGTGCTTCAAAATACTCCAAGAGTAAGTGGAAAGAAAAGTTACTAAAGTGTCCCAGGCCTAAGTGTGCAGTGATATACTGTGATCGTTGCAAGCCAAGGTTATCTGTGTTCCTAATCCTAACTTCAAATTCAGCAGCCTTGCAGCTGAATATCCTGTTCCTGTGAGAATTATGATGAACTGGAGAGGAAAACAAAGTGATACTGATCTCTGCAGCCTGTTGGCTGCTTTTTTGTGTGACATTGGTTAAACCAGAACATTGTGGAACAGTGTGATTTCAGTCTCTCGGTGTGATTACAATAATTAATGTGTTAATTCTGGGCTAGGAGCATTTTCCTTCCTGATTACTTTTGGACAAGCTGTGTAAGTAATAGAACACTTGGTGTGAATACAGTAAATTATATTCTCCAGGGGAATGAAACTTGTTCTCACTCCTAGAATGATAAGATTTGTCTTGTTTATTGTGACAAAACTAATTTTTTTTTTTTTCGGTGGAGTAATGTACTGGAAAAATCGTAAACACAAATTCAGTGCAGAGACACAGACTAAAAATTTTTAAAAGATAACATGACTTGAAAGATACAGAGTCAATACTACAGAGGATGGTATGTTTGTAACATGCTGCAAGTCCTTGGCACATAAATTTAGCATTTTTAATTCTTTCTTAAGTGGGTAGATGACCTGCAACCAGCAGCAAGGCAACTCACCTGTGTTTGATTGTGTTGGTGGCACACTTGGAACCAGAACTTGTCAAATTTCACATTCCAGTCATGTTGTACCACCTCTTGTGCTGGGAGGGGGAGACTCACAACTGCTGTGCTACTTTGGTAGAGAAATGCTAAAAATTAAAGGAAGTGGCAGAAGTCTGAAGAACTGTCTCCCACAAAGACGCAGCAAAAATACTGTGGAAGGCTGTTGACAAAATGTGGAAGGCAAATATTGTCCTCTTATCAGTCAGCAATGTGGGCAAATGTAATAACAAATATTGTTTCTTGTCCACCTGCAGTTGAAGATAATGATTTTGTGATTATTAGCTTTTCCCCTTCCAGCTGACAAATGCTGCACTTTCTACTTTAAATGTTATATTTTATACTGCTCTAATATTTCACCTATCTAATACTTTTGTACCTTTTTCCTCCTTCCACAGTGAGAAGGTCAACAAAGGGATTGGTATTGAAAATATCCACTATTTAAATGATGGCCTTTGGCATATGAAGACATACAAATGAAACAAAAGGAACTGTTACTCCAAAGGAATGCACTTAGATTAAATGTGGACTGCTTTGTAATTCCTTGTTTTTAATGTGACTGAATGTACAAATTATTTTGTTCTGTGGCTATGCTAAATAAATCACGTGAATGCAAAAGTACTGTTAGGCTACAATAGTTTTCTAGATTTCTTTTTATTACAGTTATTTTGTTTTATCTTAAACCCAAGTCTTCAGTGACTGAAGATACCTGGTGGAAAGATTCTGCATGGACTGTGAGTAGACTATTTCAAACAGAAAGGAGGAAAAAGCCAAGAAATGTTTACATTTTTATGCTCTTCTAAAGGAGTAATATAAAGTGTATGTGAAATATAAATACAGTTTTTAAAACCTTTGAAACATTTCAGATTTTTTTCTTCTGATTAACATCTTGTTAGTCTACGTGTTTCTTGAATGTGGAGAAATCATTTTTTTTGACATTATTTTTTAACTTATTAACAGCATTAACTTCATTTTACTTAAGGATTTTCTCTTTTTTAATATGCATTTATCTGTATCGGATTTATGAATTTAGACTGATATGTGGACTAGAAATTCTTTTATGCTGGTTCATATCTGAAGACTATACCTATGTTCAGATTTCTACCTGCCAACACTTTGAGATTGCTCTCCTTGTAGTGGAGTTTATAGTAGTGGTGGGCAGGCTCCAAACGGAGCGTGTGCCACCCCGGTGCCTGACGCTCTCTACTCCCTGTTTGCCGCCTTATTTTAGGAGCAGAAGCAAAATCACCGTTAGATAAAGGCATGATAGGAAACCATGGTTATCAGTGTAGCCAGGAGCAGCTTCTTCAGGTGGAACTTCAAGAGATCTCAGCTTGTGCACACTGCCACACGTACCTGCAGCTACAGAATGGGTTCAGGAGCACTGTGTGTTTGTCTGGATAACCCAACCCTTTGTTCAGCAACTGCATACCCAAAGCTATGCCTATGGAAAAATGGAATCATGTAATAAACTAAGGAAACCTTAAGGTCTACCACTCATAACTGTCTCTGGGAGCATTTATTAATATTTCAAGTCTCTGTTCTAACACATGCACTGTGCAATGGCAGAATGTACTTTTGTGTGCCCGTGCCTTGTCTCGGTGCTGTTCTGCATGTTTGGTTTCCCCACCCTGGGACCTTCACAGAAGAGAGTGGCCAAGGAGTTCTCCATCTGATTCTAAAGCCAAATTAAAATGTGGGAGACAGAATATATTACCTAGTATGTGCTACTTTAAAATTTTCCTGTAAGATTGTTTACGAGATTGTACTTCTGAAAATGACAGGGTAAATCTGAAACTATCAATGTAGGAAGACACAATTTAAGCAGTGTAGCAGAAAAAGTTTCATCAAACCTCAGAACTTCAGAATGCTGATGGACATTTTTATGCATCTTAAAGGTCCCACTATGAATGTACTAATTCCTGGTTAGTGCTATGTGAAATCAGTTTGTGCTTCAGTGTTGTTTTTTCTTTTTCTTGTGTAAAACAAGCTAGCCTTGTGTTCTGTGGCTTTTTCCCTTTGCATTGTCTCCTCCTGTTGTTTTACAGTACCTCTCAAATCTGTGACAAATGAGATTTATTCTCATTTGAATTGTTCACTGCCACCCTTTCTCCTATGACTGCTGTTGTTGTGGGGGGGTCAGAACTGTCTTTAATATCAGAAACACTGAAATCAAAATTTTACTTTCTTCATCTGGTTCTGTCAAAGTATTCCCAACAGTGAATTCCCAACCTTTATAAATTATTCTGTAAGAAGATACAAGTCAAATTAGGCTTAAATTGTTTATCAGTTTAGCAAAACATCAAAAATACAGGTTTTATATAGGTTTTAGCAGCAATTATGGACTTTTGTCTTGCTCTTTCAGCTGAGCTCTGACTGACAGGATGAGAAACAGCTGAGCTGTGGGAGCTTGTCAGGGGGTCTCAGCAGTTGTCTTACCCTTCTTGTCAAAAAGGAAGGACCTAATGCTTAAAACAAAACCAAAAAAAACCAAGATGTGGATATTCTCAACAAGTTGAAGCAGCTGTTTCACTTTCCCACCTGCCCCCTTGCAGCTCAGGGTAGGGTGTCACAGCAGTCTGTTAAAGGTGAGATAACACCATCTTCTCCGGTGTTTTATGAATATTGTAGTACCAACAAAGCCTGTGATAGTCCCAGATGTAGCAGATAGATGTAATACCTTAAGTCTTGAAGCACCCATGTCAGGTCAGTGAATTCTAAATGGAGTAAATACTGAAGTGCTGTTTATTTGCACATGCTGTGAGGGGAAGAGAGTGTGACCCAGTAACTTGAGCCTCAGTTGTAAAAAAAAACAAAACCCAAACACCAAAAAAACCAAATCCAAACAACCACCCCCCCTGTGCCCATCCTCCCACCACCCAAAAAAACCCCCACAAAACTGTAACAACAAACCCAAACCCCATCACCCCCCCCAACCCCAGTATGGGGAGTTCTGCAGGTTGTTTTGTTGTGTTACCTGTGTCGCATAAAATTCCAAGGGTGGGAGTGCAAGCATGTGCTGCTCTTTCTGCATCTTCATGTTAAAAGCCTCTGTAAATGTATCTACATTTTTACTGACAATTAACCATCTACTTCCTTGTAAACACTATTAGCACCACTAACATGAGTGGAAATAACACCAAACCTTTATTCTAATACACTTATAGGTGGAGTGAAGTTTTAAATGAGCAATTACTCCTGTGCAAACAGGCTCTCTGACCACATTAATACTTACTCAAATACAGTTATCTCTTTCTTTTGTCTGCTTAGAAACAGCAGTCCAAAGGGCACTTGATATGATTATGCTGCAACTTCCTAAAGGATTTCTTGCCACCTTGCTTCCTGATAATTCCTTACTGGGTTAGGAGGCTGTACATAAAGCAGCAACTGATAAAACAATGTAGCTGAAGCTATTGTGTAGTTGAGAATAACAGAAGCATCTTAAAGTTAGTCTTTGAGACTGAATCTGTAGTCAGTTTTATTGGTATATTTTAGAAAGATAAAAAGACATTCTAGAAATGCCTGGAAGAACTGAGAGAATCAAAGTCTTGCAAAAATATATTTGTAAGAGTAGACTAAACTTCATTTGAATTTTCATTAATAAATATTTACATGTACAAACCCCCCCGTATAAACTTAATTCCCTTTCATTATAAACATTAACAACTTCTTTTTATCATTTCACTCTGGCTCTGTCAAAAGCCAGAAGCATTTCCGTATAAAAGATTTAGAAAAAAAAAAAAATTTCTCCTTCCACTTTTGAAATTAAGACCTTTCCCAACCCTCAGTGTGCAAAAACAACCTGTACAGCAGTACCAGCACGTGTCAGTACCAACGAGTGTCGCGAGATGAGCCGACCCCACTCCTCCCCTGGTGGCACCTCAGTCGTTGTCCGAGCCCTCCGGGGGCAAGAACACGAGGGCATCGCTGTAGGTGTGTCCGTAGGGCCGCAGCCTGTACACCCCGTACATCATCACGTGCATGTGGCTGGGGCTCAGCCCGCTGAAGGTGATGGCCATGTCGGAGCAGCAGCCGTCCACCACCTGCTGCGGGTGGGTGGCCATGGCCTCCTTGATGAGGGCGCCCACGGATTTGGTGTTGAAGACGTCCTTTCCTTCCGAATCCTCCGCGTTCTCAGCGAACACCCCCGTGTACTTCAGGCAGATCGCCAGCTGCTTGTCCTCGGCGAGTTTCCAAATCATACCTCCCTGCTCCGGACACTTGTTGGGGTCTTCAAGAACACTGGAGAGTCGTCTCAGTGACTCGATGCTTAAGACGATTCCTCCCTCGCCATCCACGTACTCGAGGTCACCAGATTTCACAGCGTGGCCGATGTAAAAAGGCTGAGAGGGGTCTTTCCTCAGTAAGAAGTACTTGAGATTTTCCATAATAGCAAATGTTGTTGGATACGCAAGGAAGAACCAGCTGAATTCATCCTTGTAGCGTTCATAGGTTATCTTGTAAGCTTTTCTCATCATCACCCACATGTCTTTTGTGTTGAGGGCCACAGAATCGAACACTTTGACATTTTCAGAGCTGTAGAACTCTGCCTTGTCGCAGTGCTTGCTCCAGGTCTCCTTTGCTGCAGCCCAGTGCCCCAGATCTTTTGGTTTGACAAGGATGATACAGTAAACACGGATACTTTTACTAAGCTCCATACGTTCACCCTCAGAAAGGTTTAAGACATCCTCTTTGTCGGGAGCCTGGATGTGATGGTGCTCGTGGTCCCGCGCTTTGGTCCCGTGCCCCACCTTGATGTGCCCCAGTAGTGTAACCAACATGCAGAAGGCTCCTCCAAGCACCATGCCCTTCACGAAGGAGCTGCTTTCAGAAATCATTTTTCCTAGGAAAGAGACGCACCGTGAGACCCTACAGGAATTAAGTGCACCAGAGCACTAGCCCATACGGTTCTAATTCATTCTGCAATTTACAAACCCAGCTGCAGTTCCCTGACCTCCCGCACCGGCACAGGGCCGGTGGAAGGGGTGGCAATAAAGAGGTTCCCTGTCGCGGCTCTGGGTACCGCTAACGGTACCACAGACCCCGCGGGGGGAGCCTTGTGCCCCGGCTCCCCTCAGCCGCCGGGATGGCGTGGTCCCGGCCCCGCCGCCGCCACATCGCGGCCCGCGCGCTCCCGGGGAGCGCTCCGGGAGGCCGGGCCCCGCCCGCTCCTCCCCCGGAGCCCCCCGAGCCCCCCGCGGTCCCGCCGGTCCCGGTGCCGCCCCCGCCCCGCTCACCGGAGCCGCGCGCACCGCCCCTTCCTGCGCCGCCGGAAGCGCCGCGCGGCCGCTCTGGGCCCCGCGCGCGCCCGGGGCGGGGGCGCCGCCTGGCGGAGAGAGGGGGGTACCGCAGCCCTGCCCTCGCGGAGCCCTCGCGGAGCCCTCGCCCGCCCCCCCTTCAGGTGTCCCCGGTGTCCCCCGGGGAGAAGCGCCAACCCTGCTGTGCCGGCGCGGTTGTTAAAGAAACTTACCGGTCCGCCCGTCCCCGAGACGCTCTGGGAGCCACGCTCCCGACGCCGGACACTGTCACCGCTGGGACCGAAGCCCCTTCACAGCGGCGGCTCCGGTGACCCGAGGTACCCCCGCTTTGGCTCCCCCCGCACACCCCACTCGCACAGTTGGACCGGGTTTCCTCACGGGCTCGACCCCAGGTTTCCTCACACAGCAGAGTCTCGGATGTCTCGCTCCATAAAGCGGTTTATTCACGGCACGGTAACACAGAAACAGCTCGAGCCGGTGCCTCCGAGGAGAGACCCCAACAAAGGCACTAAACCATACCCAGGATCAACACAAATATATCCAGTATATCCAGGATCATATAATATCAGATATATCAATAGCTCAAATATATCCAGATTGAAATCATGAATAATATACTGCCCTAAATTTCCAAACTAATGCAATAAACAGTGCTTCAAGGATGGTAATATGGTTAATCTTTAGAGTAAAACCAAAATTTTATTTTCTACTCTTTCTTTTCTTTAGTGATAATTGTTCCTGAGCTCCGGATTGTCCAAATCTCTTTCTACATATTGTCTCTCAAGAACTTACAGGTGACACCTGATTTGAAAAAGCATCACTGACCAACAGTTTGATCCCTTTTCCACCACCCTCTTGGGGAAAAATAAATGTTTTACATGTTTTATCTCTTTATGAGCTGATAGTGGTGTAGTCTTAGGCCACCACAGGGGTTAGGATAAAGTCCTGTATGGGTTTTCCCTATATTGTAAGGTATGCCCTGGTTGGATGAACGTAGTGGATTTTCTTTAAGTCAGTTTACAATTGAGCTGATCTGGATTTTCTGGCATCTGTCTGAGTTCCTCACAGCCTCAGTTATTCAGGTTAGGATGTTTTTTTTAGGCTCATGGCTGTACCGTAGACTTCAAGGCTTAAGGATGTTCTCTTTGGCAAAGAGATCTGTAAGACCATCAATTGCTTAACTCTTCTGGGCCTAGGGATGCACTGCTCAAGGTTCAGGAAAAAATGCTACAAAATAGTTACTTTGTTTGGATCAGTGCATGTCCAGAATGGCTCCATTCAGTGGAACTAAACACCAATTACACAGGGTGGCAGAAAGTACTGTCAGCTTGTACGGGCAGTTCTGTCACTGCACTGAGGGAACATCACTCATCCTATATTTTCCTACTTGACTGCTTTCAAGGTATAAAATAGGTGGACACTCAGATTGTTATCACACAGCAGAGACTGGAGGTGAGTTCAGTTTGTTTTATGTATCTCCTGTTTGCAGAATCAATTGTGGCTTTCAGGGCTTCAGCAGTTTGCTTGTTCGTGTGCTTTCAAGAGATTTGAGTGAGTTGCGACTCGCCGCTTCAGCTGATGCTTCAACAAATTGTTTTCCTGCATGACTTCAGTGAGGTTCTTTCCCATGTTCTGACAGAATGACTAATGTAGCTACAGATCTTGACTGTCATTTTAATGTCTTTTCAACATTGTTCTTATCCAGCAGCAGATAAGTGAAGAGAAAGTCTAAGCATCATGTAAAGCATGTTAGAAACCCAGAGAGACTCTCTGGCTTCTCTGTTCCTTGAAATTGTTGGTTGGTGTTGAAAGGACTGAAATGGCATAGGAATGCATAAGGTCTCACAACAGCCATTGTTAAGTATTCTGGAGCTCATTTAGACATGTGTACTCCTGTAAACTCTCCATTTCAAATTACTACAAGCAACTGTTTTTAAGAACTTCAGGAGATAAGTATTTGAAGTCATTCTGCCATTGTCTGGGAACCAGCCAAATGTCATAACTGAGGAACAGCCAGACCTAAGATGGAAGTTAAGTGAGGAAAGCTCAGTCACACGGTAGGAGTGAACCAGGAAACCTCAGTGATCAAGGCAAATGGCCTTGCTTTAGTTTTGTGTTAGAACATGCACTCATGTATGCATACAGAATATCACCAGATTTCAGCTTTGAGTACTGACTTGCCGTCCATGGAGAAGTTTGTTAGCGGCAGTTTCATCCCTTACTTCCTACTGATCCTTTGTAGGGTCTCTACCACACTCTGGAAAAATAGCAGCCTTTGGAACCTGCAGACCTGTGCCAGGATCCGCACTGCTGACAGAGCTGACGAGCTCCATGGCTCATTTCTTGTCTCCACAGACAGCAGTTTCCCTGCTGTTTTCTGTTTGTCTTTCTTTGCTGGCTGCAGCTGCATTTGCCTTCTGGTGCTCTTTCTTGCCTCCAAGGAAAGACATAAAACATGCTCTCACTGTGTGGTGCAAAATGTCCCTGAGAGATTGGCTATTATCAAAATATATTTGATAGGAACTTTGCTCCAATTAATGCGAAATGTTTCAGCTGACACATGAGTTGTCATCTTTCATGGGGACTGCTTGTTAATGATCACAAATGAGTGTCCACTGTCTCAGAAGCAGACTCATCTGTCTCTCTGCGTGTGCAGCAGGGAGGCTGGGCCAGAGCTGCACAGACACATTCAGAACAGGTAACTGAAGCCAGGGGAGAGCTATTGCAGGTGTTTCTGAGCAGTTAAAACACCAGCTGACCTATATGTCATACAGAAAGAACCCCTAATCAGGAGATACAGTTGCAGTTCAGAGAAATGCAAAGGTAAGTTTGAACTGGGACAGCTGACTTTGCTCTCACATCACCCATATAGTTTTAATGCTGAAGCTACTGGAAAACACACAGGTTCTACCTGTCCATGTGATTCTATCAGAAGAGAGAGTCAAGTGTGGTTATGGTCTGAAGGTTGCAAACTCTCACCTTGAATAGCTGAAAGCCCATTGGAACCAACAGACAGACTGCAGGAAAAGGGCTTTTAAGAAGAGGCCAAGTATTACTGTTCCATCACATACCTGGTCCTTCCACTGTTTCATTCAGCTCATAAAGGGCATAATCAAACAAACGTGTCTGCTGAGATTTCAGTCCTGCTGTTGGAAGGTTTGGGAATCCTTGTTCTGAAGTCATAAAATAGTCAGGTGGAGATTTGAGTTAGCAGGAAGATAAAGCCAGATTTCTTCATTCCCTTCATGGAGCCCTGCTCATTTTTTTTGGAGGAAAATGGATTCCTGAGCCAAACTTTAACCACCCCTTCTGAAATTTTTGCCCTGCATCCTTTTCTTCATTTTAGTTTCACACTCAAAATCTGGAATCCGGAAAGACGTGAACCCTTTGTAGGTCATGTGCATCCTGAGCCACATACAACACCAAGATCTTGTCACAGGGGTAGGCACTGGACTAAGGAAGCAAGTTTTAAAACCAAAAAGTGGCTTTATAATTAATACTAATTTCAGAACTCAGTTTGAAGTATTTACTTCTGAAAAAGTGTTCACTGGTTGTTGGACAAAATTCTGGAACTACAGGATGAAATTCTCCTGTATTTATAGGAGATAATGCATGATATGATCTTTTACCCTTGAAATCTGTTAAATTGATAACTATGTTAAACAATAGTTTTAAATCACTTTCCTCTTTCTTCCATGAGCACTGTCAAGGAAGGGCTTGGCATTGAAATGGCTGTTATTTACATAGTGCCCTCAAGCACAGGAAGATATGTGAGAAGCAAAACATGTGTGACTCCAAAAGAACTTACCAACTTTGGATTGCTTTATAATTTCTTCAGTGTTTCATGTGTGTAGCTGAATGCAAACCCCATCTTATTCTCTGGATATGCTAAATCAATCAAGTGAATGCTAATGTCCTGCTAGCTCCAACAATTCAGCTGGAATTGAACTAGCAGAGACAATGCCCAGAGCTGAGCTGACATCATTGTGAATGACTCTGATGCACAAATACAACAAAAAAAGAATAGGAATTAGACATTTTAATGTCAACTCTCTTAGAAGCATAGGAAAGAAAGAATTATCATTGATCAAATAGAAACAGATGAGAAAAAAAAGGCAGAGATAGGAAAATCTTATATTCAAGCTCCCAAAGGAAAAAAAAAGAAAAGTGGAGATGAAAATAGCATTCTACCAGAAAGAATGGGTTCTTAATAGACCTTTAAAATAAAATGCATGAAACAGTAATGAAGTGATTTTGCTGCATCTTTAAGGAGCTTGGTTTTGTCATTCTGGGGTTATTTGAAAAAGGTCCTCTGAAGAAAATTATGGTCTCAAATTATGGCTTTTCAGGGTCAGATTGCATAGCTAAGAAGCACCATTGTGAGCAGCAGCGACAGAGACAGCCCTGTGACACACAGGGAAACCAGAAGGGGAACCTTGCTCTGCTGGCACTGCCTTGATGTGATTTATGAACAGCTTATGGAGCCTCAGCACAGGACTAGGCTTGTGTTTTGGCTTACAGGAATTCTGGTCTGGTGTCTGAGAAAATTTTTTGACATTGCCTTGGTTTGGCGACGTGCAGCCTGGAGAGACACAAAAGTTTCTGGCATGGAGTTTATTGTAAAAGGGCTTATGGTGAGTAAGTGGTTATTGTTACTAGATGGAAAGATCTGTAAAGTTCTGTTGCTATCAGCCCACTAAGGGAAGAGGAGAAAGAGGAAGGATGGATATAGCAGAGCATTTGACAGGCTTGAATGTCTGTAGCTTCCATGAGATGCTTTCTTGTACCAAATGTTGACATCGCTTCATTTTGCCAAGGAAATGGAGGTTTTGAAGTATCAGATTCTCCAAGCAGACATTTGCTTTCCGATACCGATGTTGAAAGAGTAGACTCCTGAGTTGCATGTGCAGAGACAAAAATGTCTGATAGATATGTGTTTGCAACAAACTGGAATTACTAATGATGTTAGAGCAGAACTCAGAGCCCTGTGCTGCAACTGTAGATCTGCGATTTATCAGAGAGGAGACGCACCATGGACATGAAATGCCTGGTCCTGGAGTGGGGGAAGAAGTGTTTGCTGAGGACCCCTGAAAGAAAGCTTGTTCTGTGTAGGAGGGGCTGCTGTCACTCCAGCACTGTGATCAGGTGTAGAAGCTTTATGCTTTCTGGGGAAGCAGGGATGTGAGCAGTGCCACTAGCTCGGGAGCAGCGAGAAGCACAGACTGCAGGCAAGAGAGGAGAGCACACAAGGTCTGAGATTGCCGAGTTTGAGATCACTCATGTGTCAGATTTCAGCCTCTTTCTCTTTCAAACAGAT